TTCACACACATAATTTTCATACTGTCATCTTGTATCCTTTTCATCTTTATAATAAATTGAAATTTTTAATGTCAATCAGTGATAAAAGTAGATGCATTTATTGATCAAATGTATCATAAGCAAAAAGATAAGACCTCTGTGTAAACTACTGCTTACTCTGGATTTGTAAACCAAAACCAGAATGTAAACACATTGAAAAAGTGGCAATTTCTCATAGTTACTCTAAAAATCTGGTGCTTAGTTTAGTGAAAAATTACATTTGCAAAACAATTGCAATCATAGCTTTATAATGCTATACAAACACAACATACTCCAGCTGAGTCCAGATATATAGTAGTTAACTTTGATTCAAGACTCAGATCAATATGTGAAGAAATTGTGAAGAATGTGGATGCAAAGATCACTTATAAATGTAATAGCACAGTATACCAAATATTATGCAATGGGAAAGATCAAATAAATTTAAATTTGGCCCCAGGAGTATATCATATCCCTATCACAGGCAGAAGATTTGATTGCAAACTAGTATATATCTGTGCTACAGATAGATCCATCAACAAAAGAATCAAAGAGCATCGATACCACATCAAAAAGAATAAGCTGTTACATCTTTAACCTTATATGCCAGGAAACTGGGAGTGATGGCCAAACTTGACAAAACACAATTAATTAAATTGACCTTCAACAAAGAACATATGAGAGCTCTGGAAATTCTAGAGATTTTAAAAGCTATATTATAAAAGAACTGTATTAATTATAAAGATTGTGAGTCATTATCGGCAGCCTGGCAGTTGTTTTATAACCATCCACACCTGTGGTAAAAATAATGATTTAATGTTACTTTCATAAAAACTAGTCATTTTATTGTTAATTTAAGAGACAAGTATTAATACAAGGATGTAAAGTAACGTTTTTAAAAAAATTGTTCGTATATTTGAAAAATTAAATTGAATTTGTAATTTGACATTCCAAAAAAAAACTTTTATTAAGAATGTTAGTGAACCTGATGTAGGCCTATAAATCAGATCAAAAATGTTTATTTCTCTATTTTCTGGAAAAAGAAAAATTTCTTGTGTTTTTTCCAGGCAAATTCAGAGAAAAATTACTCTGGATTTGTTTCTGTATAGGCTGTTTGGTAACAATTCAGGGTTTTATATCAGGGCCAGTGACAATCCAAAGCTTTATAATTTGCTTCTGAATTAGGTTCTATGAATTTTAAGGTTTCAAATGGATGGCATGAAATATTTCAAAAGCAACATAGCAAATGACAATGCAAAGCCGTGGGAAACTGCATTACATAGCACAGTGAGAGGCTAAGTTTTCTTCCATTATTATTGGTCATTCTCCAGAAAATATTTTGAATGCAGACAAAACAGGACTGTTCTTTTGTGCTCTCCCAGACAAAACTTTGTGCTTCAAGAATGAATCATGTTTTGTTATTAAAGGGGCAAAAGTACAACTAACAGGTCTGTCATATGTAATTGTGAATTGAGAATGCAAGAAACTCTAATTGGTGCCAAACTGTTTTACGAATATAGACATTAGAAAATTTGATGTTAAATGGAAATCAAACAGAAAGGCCTGGATGGTGAGAGAAATTATAAAATTATGGAAAAGTTGGAATTATGACAGAGTGGTTTGAACAACATTTTCCAGCATTAAATTTATTTCTTGACATTGCTGCATTATATCCAGACATCTAGTTCAAAATATTGAATGAACGTTACTTTACACTCTTAACCTCAAGGCCTAACTCAAAATTTTAGTCAAGTACAGGCATATGGTTATGAAGCACATAATTACAAATACAGATTATGGAACATCACTCAAAATACTGATGAAGCAACTCAATATCTTCCAAGTAATTTCATGAATTTCAAGTGCTTTCAGACAGATTTTGACATTAACAATTCAGAGTTATTTCAAAGTCAAATTTCTTTCCAGTAATGAGAATGCTTACAATTTACAGCAGCTATTGTGGATGATATGAAGACAACACAGTCTCATGAATGCAGTAGATTTATCATCACTGCAAACCATTACATCAACATAGATTTGACATCTCAATTGAGGGCACAAGCCAAGATACAAAAATAATCCTTCAGTCACTTTCAAGAAAGGGAGACTAATGATGATGACAATGGCTCTTGCTTCACAGACAAAATGCAACAGAGCCATCAATAGTCATATAGATAGATTCTGAATTAAGTAAACAAACTTAAATAGTTTTGCATCAGTAGAAAAGATAAAGATGGTACAAAGCTAGCACAGGATTAAATTATGTTTATTGAGAAGTATAAGTCCCTATTCAATTGAAAAAACATGTACATAATTGAATATTTTAAAAAAGTAATACTGACCCTTCTGACCCTTTATGATAATTTATTACTTTAATATTCAATATTACTATTTTTTCCATATATGTATTATATGTTTAAATTTAGTCTACATTATTTTTATTTATAAAGGTAATTTGTACAAAATTCTCTTGGGTAGACATCTCTGTAATGAACAGTTTTTTGTCTGACAAATGTTTTACCATTCTAAAATTTTGTAGCCATTATAAAGCAAAAATATGCATTATTAGAATTTAAAAAAATATATTTTATATTTTTTTAATTATAAATCTGGAAAAGCATATTGAAAATATTGTCAGTTTTATTTTTTGTTAATGCAAATAATTGAAATAACAACATTCATTTATTATATTCAATTATTATATAATAAAATTTATTTAAATTTAATTTTATTTAGTATTTAATCATAGTGAAAATAAATCATACAGTACATTATTTTTTTCTTTAGACATATGTTCTATGGTAAATATATCAAAATATTTTAAGTGTTTTTCATTATTAAAAAATGCCAGATGAATAGAAAGTGCTTTATTACAGAGAGATTTATTAGATATAATTCTGTCTAGAATTTGACTTTACATCAACTGTATTATTTAGCTTATTTTTTTAATTATAGTTTATTTTTGGAGTAAATTTAATTTTTAGACATTAAAAATATATTTTCTACAAAAATCCAATTGCTAGTTTGTTTATTGAATTAAAATTCAGTAAATTAATAATTGAATTATTGTCTTTCATTAAGTTGATTTTTATAGTTTATTTGTAGCATTAAATTTAATGCATTTTCAAAATTGTGTCCATTAATCAGTAATTTTTAATCCAAATGTCTTCATTTTTTCTTTCTTTTTTTTTTGCATTTATCATAAAAAAATTTGCTAAACTGAGCTTGCATTCAAATTACAGTATCTATAATTACTCTTAACAAGTTTGCAATGGAAAAGTTTCTTCATTCTTTCTCCTGAAACATATACTATTTATTAGACTTTATTCATTTAAAATAATTGATTTTAGAGTTCTAGAATATTATTTATTTTGAACTAGATTGTTTTAATTTTTTTTTCTGCAGATAGTATGTGATAATTAATTATTATACTCTTTAAATTTCTTCCATGTACCTGTGCCTCACACTAAAAGAAGTGTGTTTTGAACTTGCTGTTGGAACAGGCATTGTAAAGACATGGATTTTTTTCTTACAAAGATCAATAGAAAATAAATAAATTTGTAACAGTTTTGAGAGAATAATTTTTGGTTTTCTAGTTACAAATCAGAACTGCATTCAAGGACAGTCCATGCCTAGTAGATTTTCAAAATCTTGGTATCAACTTGGCAAACATGAAGGAAGATCCAGTAAAATTAAGAAGAAAAAGATACAGATAAACATTCATTTGTCTTTATGCTTACCTTGATTTTTAGACTATTTCTGTATTAATTTTAAGTGTTGCAAAGAGGAATTCTTTTACTTTAAAAACAAATTCTTAAGTTGACAGAGAAAATTATTTTGTATAGAAAAGTTGTTTTAATTTTATTGGAGAATGTCCAATGTTACCATTTTTTTCAATCCAATCCCTCATAAACCAGTATTTTTGTGAAATTAAATAAAAATAATTATGAAATGGAGATATTAGAGATCAAATGCATTTTTTAAAAATTTCTAGACTGAATTAGTAGGAAAAATACAACAAAATTGGTTCTAATTATTTTGAAAAAATGGGTTTGTGGGCCATTTTTAAGTAATTTTCTAGGTTTGTTTTGATTGCCAGTCTACCTCAGCACTAAGTAATAAAGAAAATAGAGAGGTTGAGGCGCACGTTTTAAACGTGTAAACGTGTACGTGTGACGTTCGGCGGCGCTTTCCCATAAGCCTAAAAGTTTGACGATGGTGTTTGGAATGTCGAGCGTGATTCCACCGACTATCCAAACACCATTGTCAAACTTTTAGGCTTACAGGAAAGCGGCGCCGAACGTCACACGTACACGTTTAAAACGTGCGCCTCAACCTCTCTATTGTCTGTTTAAAAGACTTTTGAAGACTTCTTAAATAATTTTATTTATGTAATATATAAAATCTCTTTACAGCCCAGTAATAAACTGTTTTCAGACCATAGTTTGAGTAGTACTGATTTAAACTATCAATATAATAATTTTTTTTTTATTGACTAAATTCATTCAATGCTTTTAATCTATTTTGATAATACAAATGATATAAGAAATGTTTATGATTCAAAAATGGTAAAAAGATGAATGGCTACATATTATTAAAAAACTTCAAAGAAAAAAATATTGTCTGCTTAAGTAGTTTTGTATTTTACAATGGTGATGTATCAATAATATAAAATAATGTAACTAACATGGTGCTAACATGAAAGATGAAACTGCACTATGTGCAGTACACAATGTTGAAAATATGTTAATAATATACGAAAATGTGTAGCAGCTGTCAAAGATTAGGTATTTTGTTAATTCCTGCAGTTGCATAATCTAGTAAAAGACTTAATCTTAGTTACCATGCCTTTTTTCTAAATGTCAATATTAATAAAGCATGTATAAAAATGATACAAATAATTTATATTGATGCAGATTCTAAAAGGTAAATAAAAATGTTTATTTATTTTATTTTATTTTTTATTTTTATTTTTTCTTCAGGTGAGAGTACTCTACGACTTTGATGCACAGCCTGGAACAGGTGAATTAAGTGTTTGGGCCAATGAAATTTTAACAGTGACTAGAAATGTAAATATTCATTTCTGTTTTATTTTAAAGTAATATTGCATTTTAACATTATTATTGCAATTATAATTTCTTTCTTACAGGATGTAGGTGAAGGATGGTGGGAAGGAACAAATAGTAAAGGGGAATGTGGACTGTTTCCTGCAGGTTATGTAGAAGTAAGTGATATAATCTAATAAACAGAAATTCAATAGTTTTAATAAATCAACTTTGTATATTTGAATTTATTATATACTAGCTGCAAGGACCCGCTTCGCTGGGTTTTTATTTGTTCGTACATTTGTATGTAATATAGTTTTTTTTTATATATAAAAGACTGTTTTTCTAAGTAATCTAGAATCTAGCTGCAAGGACCCACTTTGCTGTGCAAAAAGTAACGATAGTGAAGATTAAGATAATTACATTATAGCCAATCTTACCCGTTTTCACAGAATGCAAGAATTAGGTCCCCCGTTTCCAGACTAATTAGAGAATTTTTACGTTTAGTCAAACGAACTATTTTCCATTTGATCAATTTTCTGGAACGTTTACAATCGTTCTATAATCGAACCAATTTTATGTTC